AAACGAACTATAGGAATATGCTTAGGAAGATGCTTATTTAAGTGGTCTTCCTGTTACAGCATATTCGTTTTAATGTTGATTCTGATTGATTTTTGGAGGCAGAAATATATAAATTTAACGTAAAAAAAAATGCCTGCGCAAAACCGTGAAATGTACCAGATTTGGGGTGAGACTAAATGCTTACTTCGAAATCTAAGCTGCGTCATTGGCGGTTGTGTGCGGCGTGTATGCAGCATGATTAGCAAGCGGCGACCACTAAATTAAAGACAGAAACGCTCCGACTGGTTTTCAATGAATGACACTGCATACCAAAAATGTCAATCGCTCTCATCATAAGATATCTAGATTTAAATAACTAGGTTATCTACATCATCATTTTAAACCAAATTAATATCTTCAACTTAACCATCGCTGGCACAGGGGACATCCCGTTGATGCATCCCCCTAAGGTTTTTCGCGAATAACTCGCGTAAAAAGCGGCCGATCGTGACGAAACTTTCAGTACCCTCGCATTGATCAATTTCTCACCCACTCTAAAAATTTCATGACCCTGACCCAAATGACCTTTGACCTGTGACCTACTTTCCGTGACCATGTTTGGCCGGAATCGCGATTCGGCGTCAGAATCAGAATCAGAATCAGAATGTTTATTAACGAATGATCCACTTCAAGCTGTGGCTTTTCACATCATCACCCTCCCCCCGTCGACCAGGTCGACCTGACCCGACCTTAAATGCTTAAAGACATCATCTCTGATCAAAACTAACACGATATTCGTGATCAGCAGTACACCGGGAAACCCCCATGGCAGCCACACTTTGCGACTTTCTAACAGGTCCCGATTTTCCCGATTTTCGGGTCATTGACCTGACCTGGAAGGTCACCCGATGACCAAAGACCTTAAAATTGGATATCATCGGCTTCCTCTCATGACGGGCAGCACGCTCGTTTTTTTCCGCGAAGCTCTAGCTCGATCAGGGGCCAAACGCGAGGGGGGTCGTACCCTCCCCCCCCTTGTGCCGTCGAAGGACGCAAAATGGCCTGTGCCGGCGAGGGTTAAAGGGACCCTCCCACCTTAACATTAGTTTTGAGTTGAGATAGCCAAGTTTGCGGCCAGGCTCAGAAACCACCATTTATCCTGGTCGCAACCCCCGCAGCTTTATGGTGTTCAAGAAATTTCTTCCCTTTACTTGCAGGGTGGGACCAGCGTGGTCCCTATCTCTTAACCATTACGGGAATCTGATGACGTCATCAGGCTTTCGAACGTCCGTTAAATGTTTGACTAAAACGTTTTGTAGCACGCGGTGGTATATGCTGCGTTGCGCGCAACAAATGCCGCACTTTTAAATAAAGTCGCTAGGAACAGCGGAGATCCCAAAAAGTAAACAAAAGTAAAAGTCTAATATCTTGAAAACCGGTGAATATTTTTCGGTGAAATTTGGTAGATATTCGTTTTCGCTCTTTCTGAACCGAGCGACATCACTTTCATGCCAATTCATAAACTTTTTTGAAGGTGGGAGGGTCCCTTTAAAATTGGGTATCATCGGCTTCCTTTCGTCACGGGCAACACGCTCGTTTTTTTCTGCGAAGCTCTACTGCTCTAGCTCGATCATGGGCCAAACGGCAAGGAGGGGTCCAACGGACCCCCCCCCCCCCTTATACGTTCGCGGCTGGAAAAACACCAATACGGGCGAGTGTTCAGGAGGGAAGAGAGTCGGTGACGGTCAGGGGCACTACAAGCAGAGCACCATAAGCCGGTGACCGGGCTGACATACCATGTTTTGATAGCATGACTGAAACAGACTTTTTTGGGTAGCCAGGAAATCGCATGCGAGAGCCTATTCAAATTCTTACATCGGCCTTTATATGCACCAGTCGCATACCTACAAGTACGGGACTTAGCATACGATTTCCAGACAATCGAGAGACTGTTTGGACTTTGGAGCCAACAAAGGAAGGAATGAGTGAGTTAAATTGAAAGTATTAATTTGGTCCAAAATGATGATGTAGATAACTTAGTTATTTAAATCTACATCATAATATCTACATAAATCTACATAAATCTACATGTAAATATCTTATAACGAGAGCGATCGACATTTTTGGCATGCAGTGTTATTCATTGAAAACCGGTCGGAGCGTTTGAGTCTTTAATTTAGTGGTCGCCGCTTACTAATCATGCGGCATACACGCCGCACATAACCGCCAATGCCGCAACGCCGCTTAGATTTCGAAGTAAGCACTTAGTCTCACCCCCAGATTTGGGCCTCAGTGTACCAGCGTACCAGAAAGTGTTGAAATGTACCAGATCTGGTACAATCGTACCATAGCGGCAGCACTGCTGCCAAGATTCTTACGGCACTGCAGCGTGTAAAAATCAGTAAAAAAAGCACATAAATAAAAAGTTTTTAAAATCCGCTGATTATCAAGAACTTTAGAAAGATATGTTATAATATCTGGCGCAGATACGTTTGATGGCGCATTTGACTGTGGTTGACTTTCATTTATTTGCTTGAGCTTGAAGAGTGTGGTCGTGATCCACGGACTGCTGTTTTTGTTTTATTGATCTATTTCTACCAAATATTTCTCATCAATAAGTCTCCTACATAGTGTAAAATCATGGCGAGGAAAGTTAGCCCTGCTAAGGACTTCATCGCGGGTGGATTCGGCGGATCATGCCTGGTCGTCACTGGACACCCTCTCGATACCATAAAGGTGTGCTATTTTAGAATAGTTCCGATGTTTTTGGGTTTTTTTACTTGAGACATGCATTATTTATTCATTAATCTTGTTATATGAACCTAATACCTACTCTTTGTAATGTAATTGAAATATCATGATCAGTAACACTTGCTGTTTTTTGCATTGCTAATCATAATTGCATTGCAGACTCCGCATTTGTTCATTCGTTACAGTTTGTCTGATGGGTAGTATTTCTGAGCATGCCTATGAAACATAGGTTACTTGTATATAGGTTACTTGTATGTTAAAAAGTTTAATATTAGCAGAGTGCTGTTCACGGGCACCTGCGGTAGCTGCGGTAGCTGCGGCTCGGCGGTCAGCCGGGTAATGACGTCACAGAAAGTGGGGATGGGGCGGGTGGTGTGACGTCATACGGCTGCGGTCGGCTGCGGTCGCCTGCGTCTCCTGCGGTCGGAACGATCCGACCGCAGCGGCCGCAGGAACCATTTGTCATACAAAGTGGCGCGGCAGTTGCGCATTCGTGTTACTTGGGCGCAAAATTGACACAGCCGCCGCAGACGAACGCGTGATGACGTATACACAAGTGGGCGGGACTTTCAGCCTGCGATCTACCGCAGCTACCGCAGTCACCGCAGGTGCCCGTGAACAGCACTCAGGGCAATAGATAAGATTATGGGCATTAGTAGAGCACACGTCACACGAAGGTTTTCCAACCAAGGAGAGGTGCTGTAGGTTTGTAGGTTGTAGGTTGTAGGTTTTTATGTTGTAGGTTTGTAGGTTAGGTTAGGTCAGGTTAGTTTGTTTGTTTATTTATTTCATAACAACCACAGGCCGAGGCCCACATTAAGGCTGCAGTCGCAATAAAATTTCCCATCCCACCCCCTCAGGCATTCAACCCGCTCTGCCCTCCCCCTACACACATACAATCCCCTCCCAGCATACATACACATACACCAGACACGATCACAGAAAGTAAATAGCAAAGAGTGCTGGCTGACATCAGTCGATATCACTCATTAAAAGTGCCCTGACTACTAGCAAAGCGGAGCAGTAGTGCTCTCCAATGACATGACGGCTGGAAGAAGTCTGCCTCCGAATGCTCGTGTAAGAATTTGTTTAGTTGGTTGGGTAGTCGAATAAACAAGCCACACTTCACAGCGTTAACTCTGCCAAATGGGACATGAAAAAGGCCTGTGTGCCGAGAACGCCTAACCTGAGTGACAAGGCTGAATTTCGCCACCAGCTCGTGACAGTCAATCCGGCCGCTAAAGATAGAACGCATAAAAGTTATATCGGCCTGTGTCATGCGTGCCTTAATTGACTGACATCTAAAGTGATTTAAAAGGGATTGGTAGTCCAGAGAAGGACACCTACCCTGTGTTTTTGCAGCTAGCCACATAAGAAAGCGGTGATTGAGACGCTCTAGGCGGGCCATGTGGGTTACAGCAGCCCCTGACCATATGACGCTGGCATACTCAATCACCGACCGGACGTGGGCGATATAGGCAGTCATCACGGGGCGATGGTCGAACCTAGTTCCGCGCATACATGGCGCGGTCTGCATGCTCCGAATGAGCTAGCCAAGCATGCGGTTAGCCTTCCTGGTCACCTCGTCAACTTGCTGGGCAAAGGTGAGCTTACTGTCTAAAATCACTCCAAGGTCACGGATATGCTCACAACGCTCAAGTCGGTGACTGTCCAGAATATACGAGTGTATGAATGGAGACTTTCGTAGAGTAAACGTGATGACCTTGCATTTGGATGGATTGAGTTTCAAGCGCCAGAATTTTGACCACTCGCAAAGGCGGTCCAGATCAGCCTGAAGAGAATCAATGTCTTTGTGATTTTTGACGCGGTGAAAAATCTTGACGTCATCAGCGTAGGCAAGACAACCATTGCTGATACATCTCGGAATATCTGCAACATAGCAGCTAAACAGAATCGGGCCCAAAATACTGCCTTCCGGCACTCCGGAGAGCACCGGCAGCCAGTCAGAGCGCTTCCCATCGATAATGACTCGCTGGGAGCGCTGGTGCAGGTAGGACTCAATCCAGCCAAGGGCGGGTCCAGTGATTTTAAAAGAGTGACGAAGCTTGTATAAAAGCAGCCTGTGGTTGACACTGGTAAAAGCGGATGAAAAGTCGTTTTGTCGGTTTGTTAGGTTAGGTTTGTTTAGGTTTTGTTAGAAAGAAGTACCTCCAGGCATAGCGCCTCTCCTTGGTTGGAAAACCTTCGTGTGACGTCTGCTCTACTAATACCAGATTATGTAGCAGCTAAATGTTATTCCTCTTTCCCAGGTGCGGCTCCAGACCATGCCAAATCCAGCCCCTGGGGAGAAGCCTCTCTACACTGGCACATTTGACTGTGCCAAGCAGACAGTTGCCAAAGAAGGCTTTAAGGGTCTCTACAAAGGTGAGGACTAAAATGTTAGCCCATTCTTGAGAAACCAATGCAAGTAATCTTGTTTGCATTCCTTGGCGATTGTTCACATTGTAGTTGTTCTGAGGCAACTGAGGCGAGGCATGTCTGTTGGAGACTGAGGTTTTTTTGTGTGTGCCTGCCTATGCTAGGACCAGGAGGAAGGCAAAGTGTTTCTCCTTCCCCACTCCCGAGTGACTGGAGTGACCATAACTGCTGTAATTTCTACCATTGCTGCAGGAGACAAGTTGTTTGTTTTCAAGCTGCCCCATGGCACATTCGATGTGTTTCCATGAACTACATTCTTCATCAAGAATGATACCAAGCCAACAAGGCTGAAACTCCTTAAACGCTGAGCAGTGACAATTGCATGTTGTAATAGCTCCAGCATCCAAACCATTGATGAATGGAGTGGTTACCTGCTGAAGTTGTATGCCAGGTAACAGTGGAGTCAGAATTAGAGTTGACAGTTGTGGAATGAGTTAGAGTTGACAAAATGTACACATTTTTGCTTTAGAGTCAGAGTTGCCATCCCTTGGTCATGTTATCAACTTTCATATTATCAAGGCTATGTTTGCATAAATATTTGTATCCTGCTTCTGAACAGTCCTGTTATATGGCACATTTATTGCAATATTAGAAAAAACCAGCAGCTCCCCAAAGGTGGGTCAGGTCAGATCAGAGCAGGAGTTTCTGTAGGCCCTGTTGGTCATTGGGGTCATACCACTCTGAGTATTACAGCCTCCAGGATCCTCTCAGACTGGGCTGAGGTCCTCACATACCAGCATCAGACCCTCAGGAGTCATTGTGAGGTCCTTCGACTGTCTGGTGACCTTACAGAGGAGCGAGATGGCAGTTTGGCGGGGATTGAGGGCCTTGTTGAGTATTGTTATTTGTGAGTCCCCTGAAATGTGGGGTCTCTGCAAGATGTCACCCCACTCATGAGAGTCTGAGACTTTGAGACCAATATTCAGCCTTTGTTGGATGCGGTCACTCTTACTGAAGCTTTGGCTTCCTATCGAGAATCTGGGTGGGACAGTTCAGAGCCGCACCTCAGTGTAATGTAATGATCTTTGTAATGTGCTGGACTTTTTGCCATCAATGCCGACCCACCACTGAGTCTTGGCACAGACTGGCGATGGCAGACTGTTGTCCATGGTTTTACCGCTGTCCCCTTCGCCTCTCCTCAGGCATGGCGGCGCCGCTGGTGGGCGTCACACCCATGTTCGCCGTCTGCTTCCTCGGAAACAGCATCGGCAAGCGGCTGCAGCAGAAGAGCCCGGACCAGGAGCTGACCGTGCTGCAGCTCTTCAACGCCGGCATGGTGGCCGGCGTCTTCACCACCGGCATCATGGCGCCCGGAGAGCGCATCAAGTGCCTCCTCCAGGTAGGAAGGTGCCGCAGGCACTGCGCTGGGAGTGTTGGGAGGAGAGGTACCGTGTCGGAGGGCACGGCATTAATTCGGAGACGGACTTGTGAAACGTGTGTGCAAATAGTAAGTACCTTTTTATCTTTTTTCATGCAACCCAAGATAACCCAAGCGTAGGCTCAGTTTACGTCGACGTCCCCAAATGTGTGCGAGTCGGCCGCTGATCGGTCGTTCGATCCTGCAGATCCAGGCGGCTGGCACCGGGCCGGCCAAGTACGCGGGTCCCCTGGACTGTGCCAAGCAGCTGTTCCGCGAGGGCGGCATCCGCAGCATCTACAAGGGCACCTGCGCCACCCTTCTCAGAGGTACGGGGCTGCACAGTCGGGAAGAGGTGAACGGGCTGTAGCATTCACAGTTGGAGTAGACTAGCGGTGGTTCTTCCGCCCATCATTTCAAAAATTATTATATTTTACTCCATTTTCTGACGATAAAACAAAAAGCTCAAATTGAAATGTTTGCGTCACTTGAATCGTCACTACAGGCTTAATTATTGATAACGATGAATTTAATGAGAACTGATGATCTTTAAATGATAGCAGCCATTGAAAATTACGCCTGAGGGATGCCAAGCTGTCCTGTTTTACATCAGCACCCGAAAAAACAAAGATGCGTTCAAATGCGTCCGCAGAGCAGAGAACCAGTTACTATCCTGTTGGGAACCGGATGGATCAGTGGGTTGCGTAAGCCACATTGTCATTCTGTTTGTGTTTGCTTACTCATCACGCCTAATCTTTGGAGAACGACTAGACCCATCTCTCTAACATTACATGCAGTTAAAGGATGAAGATTAAAATAAAACGGTTGTGGGTCATTATTTCTTCTCGTTTCTGGCCGATTCGTTTGGAGTTATGACATTTTATTGTACTGCGTGATGGGCATCATCCAATATCATTGCCTCGCGCTTGGTTGATCCCAAGAATAGCAAATGCAAACACGTCTGCTGATCATTGGCACTGAGTTTGGCATCCTAATCGTCACAAACAACATACACGGTGGAAACACACGCTGAAGCGGACGAAAAATATTCGTCCAAGTAAAACCTGACAAAGATATGAGACACCTGCAGAGTAAGGAATGATCGCGAAGTTTGGAGGCTGCCGCACGCCAACAGCTCAGTGGGGAGGGGCTGCTGTGTGCGGTGGCACACACTGAACACACTATACGGCGCTGTGATCAGTCACCGCTCGTCGAAGGCACCACGCTAACTTTTTATCGGTCTTCTGGTGCCTATCAGGTCTGCCGCGACGTCACAGGTTATATAACTTGCGGAATTTCGGGTTCATTCGCTCGCGCTCCAGCTTCTGTGCCTTCTTGGAGAGTTTGGCGAACAGCTCCGGCGGTATGGTGGCATACTCCGGCTCCGGCTCCGGCTGCAGTACGTTCGCTGGCTTCTGCTGCTGCACCGGCTCCGGGTCCGACTCCGGCTCCGGCTCCGGCTCGTAGTCGTCGGCAGAATACTCGGCCATGGCCAGCTCCTGGTCGGCGATGGCGGCCGCCGAGTAGTCGTCGTACTCGTCGTCCTCGGTCGGCTGCCGGTCGTCGAGCAGCACGACGTCGGCGTCGGGCGCGGCCAGGTAGTCGACGTCCTCGGCCTCCGGGTGGAGCTGGGCGCGCGCGCGGCCGCCGGCGGCGGGCCGGCGCCGACAGCGCAGCTGCTGCTGCAGCACCTCGTACAGGCCCCAGTGGCGGAACTGCTCCGGCTGGTGACAGCGCGGCTCCAGCCGGGCGTCGTAGTGCAGGTGCGCCCGGTGCTCGTGGTGGCACGATCGGCCGCCCGGTGCGCTGTTGTCCCACTCGCAGACGGTCCTGTGCTCGCTGCGTGCCTGTCGCCGTACGGAGGGCGTCAGTAGGGGGTAGGGGTGGCGGCAGGGACTTCTGCTGCTGCATGTCGTTGGAAGGTGCGCTGGAAGTTGCGCCCTATTCGTTGAAGTATCCACCTGTTTTGGCTGCGGGGCGGGGGGCATATGGGCATTCCTTGCCGAGCAGCGACCCTGTGTTTATGAACATCTGTTCAAGATGGATATATACCAGGAATGGTTTTTGCTTATATGTCTAGTAGATCGGCCTGGTAGAATATTGTTTGGACGCATCCCCATAAATTATCAGGGCTATCCATTCCGTTGTAGTCCAAAGTTCGCGTGTGGCAATTGTTTATCTACGATAGATGGTGCTGTCCTTTGGAGTTTGCCAGAGGGCGCCCTGTTACTAGGCAGCGTTTGGGCTGCCGCGCCGGGCGACACTGACCGTCACACTGTCAGTGGATAAGACCCGCCGGTCCAAAGTCAGTGGAGCCGGCTGGGCGGAGAACGGACTACTGATTGCTCAATCAATCTAATGTTCTTTCAATCGATATCTAGCTAGTGTCTTCGCTGATTCAATTACTGGGACAGGCGAAGCGCTACAAATGATCGATAGATACTTATTGATGGTTTCTAGCCGGGACGACATAGCATACTACCTTTGTGACTTTGTTGCTTCTTCTGCCGGGTCTTTCTTTTTTTTTGTGCCTATCTGATAAGTCGAAATGAGTTGCCGCTGCTCTAATATTGGATGTGGCGGCGTCGGCTCACCTTGTTGGTCATGGCGGCGCTGAGGAATGCCAGCTGGCAGGTACACTCCCACGGGTTGTGTTGCAGCTGCAGCAGCTTGGGCCGGATCCCGCTCAGGACCTCGGGGCTCAGCCAGCTCAGGTGGTTGTGGTGCAGGTACAGTTCGCGCAGCGAGGACAGCGGACTGAACGTCTCGGCGGCCAGCTCGGTGAGCGCGTTGTGCGACAGGTCGAGCACGGTGAGCCGGCCGAGGCCGAGGAACGCGTCCTGAGAGACGTCCTCCAGTCGGCAGCGCGACACGTCGAGCCGCTCCAGCCGCGGCACGCCCGAGAAGGCGTCGAACCGCAGCTCGCCCAGGTCGCCGTGCAGCTCTAGCCGGCGCAGCTGCGGCAGCTCGGCCAGCAGCTCGCCGCGCAGCCCCGGCGCCGTCAGGTTGGCCACGCTGAGCTCGCGCAGCTCGCTGAGGTGTCGGAGCGCGCGCGGCCGCACCGTGAGCGGCGTGTCGGCGGCGCCCAGTCGCAGCACCTCGGTGCCGTTCATCATGTCGAGCGCGCCCTCGAGCACGGCGCTCATCGGGTTGCCGGCCAGCGAGAGCTCGCGCAGCCGCGGGAACGGCGCGAACGTGACGTAGCTCAGCTCCGAGATCAGGTTGTCGGAGAGGTCGAGCGTCTCCAGGTCGAGCAGGCCGGCGAAGCCCTTCATGTTGACGGTGAGCAGACGGTTTCCGGCGAGCGACAGCTGCTGCAGCGCCGGGCACCCGAAGAAGGCGAAGTCGGGCAGCGTGCGCACCAGCTGGTGCTCGAGCCTCAGGTGTTTGAGCTCGGAGAGACCCTCGAACAGCTGCCACTGCAGCTCCTCCAGGCCGGAGTGCGCCAGCCGCAGGAACTCGAGCGACGTCAGGTTGGCGAAGCTGGAGTACTGCGGCGCCGCGTGCAGCCGGAATTCGTTGTAGGGTACCACCTCGAGCTGTTCGGCGACCACCAGCTGCACCTGGGGCCCGGCCGCGCCGCCGTCCCCGCCGGCGGCGCTCACCACCTGGTACTGGGCCGCCGCCGGGCCGCCGCTGGCCTCCGGGCTCAGCAGCACGTGCTCCAGGTTCAGCAGGGTGAGCCGCGACAGGGGCCGCAGCGCGTCCGGGCTGAGCGCGATGCGCGCGCTGGCCGGCTGCGCGGGCTCCAGCAGACCGCGGTGACGGCCGGCGCGCGCCAACATCGACGCAAAGTCGTTGCCATGGAGACCGGCGGCGGCGGCGTGGTCGTGGCTGTAGTCGTCGTGCGCGTGGAAGCCGTGGATCTCGAGTCCCTCGAGCTGAGTGAGCGCTGAGAAGTGCTCGGCACGGATGAAGGTGGCCGGGAGGTCGGGCGCCTGCAGCAGTGACAGAAACTGCCGGCGGACGGGCCGGGGTCAGTGTCCGGCGCTGGTTCGCTGGGGAGGGGGCACTACTGGTGCCCTATGACGCTGAACACGGTGTCAAGATGATAGAAAAGTGTATATCCTGTGTTTTGTTTTACATTCCATTCTTCAGGTGCATTTGTAATATCGACGGCGCAAAGCCGTACACCGAATTATGATTTTCTCGCTAGATGGCACTGCTAGTGGACGCCTGCGGGTATGCTGTGCCGCACGGTCCGGACCGGCGGCAGCGCTGGCAAATAGTTGTGACTTTACCAATAGATGGCAGCAGTGCTACGCACGGGAAGCAGTACTGTTTTGCAAGACGAATAGGCGGAAACGGAAAACTTTGTAAAGATTAAACTGAATAACTCTCACAGTGACAGGCCAACACAAATCATACCGTTCCAAAGAACATTCCAAATAGGCAAATGGCAGTTTCGAGCACAATATTGCGATGACTGGTGCTACAATTTGTTTTGGGTTCCCTCAGAATACCGACCAGCCTATCGTCGACGAAGTTCCAGCATGCCTTCGACCATTTCAATTGCGTCATATTGTCCTAGGTAATTAACATTAACCGGCATCCCGTCTACGATGTGGAGCTGAACTACTTTATCCAACTAGTCACTGTATTGTGGTGAGAGGAAGTGAGCCATTTGGGCTCATCCTCTGTAACCCTGTGCAGTGTGCACCGACCTGCGGTGGGCGGGCGGCCTCACACCGGGTGTACACCGACCTTAGTGTCGACCGGCAGCTGCTGCAGCAGGGCGGCCGTGTCCGTGTCAAACTGCAGCGCGCAGACCACAGAGACCACCAGGTCCGCGGTCTCGGCAGGCTGCCCGTCGGCGCCGGCCGCCGCCGAGCTGCCATTCAGGGTCTGCGACACAGGAGGAGCAGCCGGTCAGTGGGCTCTGGGAGTGTGGAGGCACGGAGCGAAACACAGCCGGTCAGCGGGCTATGGGCGCATGGAGGCACAGAGGAGTCGGCAGATACGAGATCGATACGTCAAACGAATGGCTTAAAGGAAATAAATCACTTTTAGCATGGGGTTCTGAACTGTAATAACAGTTTTGTAGCTTGAACCATGGATGAGATAATAATGGATTGGTGTCTTCGCAGTTTTTGGCGACATTGAGCTCAGGCCTGCCATCTAGCGGGAGAATTGTCGTAAGTTAGGAGCAAGCCGAGTGAACGCCGCTGATTAGCATTGTGACACACGGGAGTGTAGTGTAGTAGCAGGCTTGTTGTGCAATTTTTCAAAAGGTTATTTCTTTATATGTCAGTAAAAGCGAAGAAATTAATAGATTTATGTGCAGGGTCAGTAAGAAGATAAGCAGTTCCATGTTATTTCCTCATTAAAT